ACAGAATGATAGCAAGATAGCGGCCCCCACCGCTAGCCACCATGATAAAAGTATTGACTGATTTGATTGAATGATTAAAATAATGCAGACATAGAAATGGGCTGAAGATAGAAGTGGGGAAAGATGGGCGGGGCGGCGGTGGGTGGGGGGGGCAGGGAGTCCGTCGCAGGGCGTGTGGCGCACATGCGGCGCTCTGACGTTGCTCTCGTTATTTCAGGTGGCCGTGTGTGCTGACGCCAAGGAAGTGCTGCTGTCGGACGGCAACGAGCAGTGCGTCGACAGTATCCTTTGCTGCCGATGGCGAGCTTCTGCTGCCGCCGCTCTTTTGATTCCAATCGGGCGAAAGCGCCGACGTTATTGATATAAGTATCTACGTCGTCGTCATTCCTGTTGCCTTTCCGCTCTTGCCCTCGCATTTCGCCGGAGCTACACAAACAAGCAAAGCGAGTTTTGCCGCCACAAAAGCAGGAAATGTGCAAAAAATGCGCATTTTGACCGATACGGCCCTTCCACATTTAGCCGTGCTTACAATATCTCTCCGTGTCTCGGCCGGCAACGATCACAATAAGACCAAACAATAACACACACACACACACACATGCTTGCGGCAACAATGCACCATTGACCCGCCCGCTTTGTTTCAGCAGAACAAAAACACACCCAGAAATCGTCAGGAGGATTTCTGCTCTCGTGCGAACGGCCGCCGTTTGAGGCTGCGATGGAAGCGGATGTGAGGAGCTTCATCTCTCTTTGACCTCATTCGTAGCGTGCGTGCGCACGGCGCTGCGGCGGGCCGCGCTACTTCTGCGACCTTCACCAATCAATCATCTGGAAAAATCGATGGAAATATTCCCGTGAGCGTGATCGACGGCCGCTCCTCGACGGCTCTGAAAAGATGGCCGCACGTGTCGCTTGGCACGATGCCCGATAGCAAGCGCAAGGCTCTCGGGTCGAGCGCCGCTCTGAAGGCGTCGTGGAAATCCAAATCGTTTCTGGCGGAGTCAAACGCTCCTCGTGCCGCGTCGCGGCCGGACGTTCCTCACTCAAAGATGCTTCCGATGTTGTCATCGGGAGCCGTCGTCGATTTGTACGTACTCGCTTGTCACAGATTGGACCGAGCAGCCGGGGAACAGACTTGCGTGCGACTTTCGATGCCGCGGCTCTTTCGCGCGATGTTACGAGGGCTGCGATATGTCCCGAAGAAAAGTTTTGATCTCGCCTTCCGTCCATATCGAGATGATAGAAGAATTGAAAATAGCTCGATGCCGGTGTGTCTGTCGTTCTGGCGATGGAAAACGGCCTACTTTGTCATCCAAGCTTGTTTTCATGGCGCCCAGCCGTTGTTGCAATTTTTTGGATTCCCTGGCTTCTTCTCTTAAGCCAGTGGTCTGGAACTCGGGGGTCTTAAACCAGACAGGGACTTCAAACGGGCGGGGCAAACTGGTGCCGTCGTCCCACCCGGCGTTTTCCATCTATGGCAGCTGGCTCAAGCCAAGCCCCTCTTTTTGAAACAGTCAATCAAAAACCTCCGATGGACGACTGTCACACGCACTTGACTTTGGAGTAAGCCAATCCTCCATCAAGCGTCTCCAGTTGGTCCAAAATGCCGCCGCTCAACTCTTGACGGGTACTCGTAAGAGGGAGCGCGTCACTTCCACTCTGGCATCCCTTCACTGGCTCATTTTTGAGTTGTTGTTTGGAGATCCTATTGGTTGTTTTCAAATCTTGAAACGGCCACGCCCCACCTGACCTCTGGGAGCTCCCGCCCGCTGCCTCAGGTCTGCCGACCGGACACTCCTAGAGGCACCGAGAACTAAGCTCGGAAGGGAAGGGAGCCTTTTCCCAAGGCCGCGCCCTCTCCTTGGAATGAGCCCCCTCGCCGCCCCCATCTCTTCCAACTCATTTTTAGAGAGACTTGATCTTTTTTGTTGAACTGTTTTTTTGTGCTTTCTACTGTCTTTCCGATTCATTTCTTGTCTGACTTGTTTTTTGCTCCCTGTACCGCAGTGTGCATACGGCGGCGGTTGGAGAGAAATCCACTTGAGTTGCGTTCCGCTCTTTGTGCTGATGTCACAAAGCCGCCCACCCCCCCAAAAGCGAAAAGAAAAGCAAAAATCGCTTCAACCTTCCTCTCTTTCACCTTATGTTGTGTGTGTGTGTGCGGGTGGGCGGGTGGGCGCGCCGACCTCTCCCCTAGTGGTGTGCCGGTGATGGGATTACAGTAAGCCGCTGTCATCGCCACGCACGACACGCCGACGCACAGGTGGGGCGCGTGGCCGCGCGTCGGTCTGCATGTGCGCCGGTCTTTCAAACGCCTGCCCCGCCTCCGGTGCCGTACGGTCGAGCCGTCACTCAAAACTGCCCCGCCCTCATTCGAGCTCGGTGGATTTGTTTGAATTTTTATCTTCATTCTGGTGGATTTGTGGTCCCGAGATGTTTTGCTGCGCGTGTGAAAGAAAATGAGAAGATGAGACGTTAGCAAACCAGTGTGTCTTTCCCTTCGGTTCATGTCCAGTCGGAAGCCCCGTTTGAATGGAAGGCGTTGCATTCGTAAGTCGAGGCGCCGCTGTCGGGTTGGTGCGGCTCCCTTTCTGAGAAGGCCTGGTTTCATCTTTTTCTATTGGCGCCCTCGGTCTGTGATGCCGTCCGTCTCAACGCCTCAGTGTGACTCTCATTCCGCCCCGCTCGTCGCACGGCATCTTTGTCGATTGGATTTGTCTCTTTGCGGGCTTTAAAGACAAGCAAATCCTAATTGAATTGTGGCGCCGCTCCACAAGCCGGCCGGTGTATTTATAGGCAAGTTCACATCCATCGGCCCGCCTCGGTGCACGCGCGCGCGCGCACGTGCGGGTTAAAAGCTTTTCAATTGATCCGGCGACGGGGGGCCGGCCGGGGTGCCGCGACCCGCTCGGCCG